GGACAAGGTGGGGGGCACATCTGCCCTCCCACAGCTTCCCTTGGTGCCTGACCCATTTTTTCCCCAACTCTTTCTGAAAATCACCAGACATACAGAAAAGTTGGAAGAATTGTACAGTGAGCCCCCATGTTCCCCGCCTTCCAGATTCTGCAGTTACCATCTCTCTACTTACTTGATCACATCTCTATCAACCTCGTCTCCATCCTTCAATCCGCTATACTTTTTAGTGCATTTCAGAGTAAGTTGCAGAGAGACCCTGGCCCGTTTTGACAGTTGAACAGTGGATTGTGGTGGCGTACAAAGGAGAGATTTTGTTGTTACGTGCATTGACCCAAGATGTCACAAATTCCCCCCAAAAATATCTTACCAGTCTTTGGAGCCCCCTCCCATGATGCCTTTTACTTCCGGACTCTCAGATTCCTGCCTCTCCAGGGCCTGGGAGGTCACGTGAGGGAAGGAAGCAGCCAGCGCTGCCCTGGTGGGAGGCTGTGGAGAGTAGCGAGAGCCGCGGGGGCCGGAGGGCACCTGCCCTGTAGAAAGGGGCACCCACTGTCACCTCCAGCCCGTTGCTGCCACGCGAGGCAGCTCTGGGGTCAGTGTTGCCGAGTTTCAAGAAAAGCCAGAAGTGAGGGGTTTTGTGTGTGATCTTCTACTTTTTAAATGTTTGCAAATGATGTCTACATACTGGGCAAAAGGGTATCAAGGATGACTCCTTGTATATTAGTTTTCTATAGCTGCCGTAACAAATTACCAAGAGTCTAAAAGCTTAACCAGTACACCACACAATGTATCCTTACCATTTTAAATGAAACAAATTTTGAATTTACAGCTCTGTAGGTCAGAAGTCGGACATGGATCTCACCAGGCTAAAATCAAGGTGTCAACAGCAGGGCCACATTCCTTTCTGGGGGCTCTAGGGGAGTCTCGCTTGTCTGGGTCACTGGCAGAATCAGCTCTGAGGACGGAGGCTCCCGTCCCTTGCTGGCTGTCACTGGGGACTGTTCCCAGCTCCTAAACGCTGCCACATTCCTCGGCTCATGACCCCCTTCCTCCATCTTCAGAGCCAGCAACGGTGGGTCGAGTCCCTTTCACACCTCAAATCTTTCTTGCTTCTCTTTTTTTGGGGGGGAGGGGGCAGAGAGACAGGATCTCACTCTGTCGCCCAGGCTGGAGTGCAGTGGCATCATCATAGCTCACAGCAACCTCAAACTCCTGGGCTCAAGGGATCCTCCCGCCTCAGCCTCCCTAGTAGCTGGGACTCCAGGTGTGTGCCACCACACTCAGCTAATCCTTCTCATTTTTAACCCCAGACGGAAAGGTCTCTGCTTTTAAAGACCCTTGTGATTACATTGGATGCACCTGGATAATCCTGGCTCCTAAAACCCATCTTAACATCTTTAGCCTTGATCACAATTGCAAAGTCCCTTGTGCTATGTAAGGTGAACATGTCCACAGGTTCTAGGGATTAAGATGTGGGCATCTTTGGGGGCTGGTACTCTGCCTACTGCATCTGGTTTCTGGCTGGAGACACAAGGTGGCCAGTTGTTCCTTCTGAGCCTGCCTGGTCCTCGGGTCCCCTCTTTTGGGCGCTGGGAAAATACCTTCTCCTCCCATTGGAGTCAATGTCCTCAGCCAGAGCTCACCGTGTTGGTGCAATGCCTGAGACACCCCTCCTCCCTGGACCCAGCCTCCCCCGGGCAAGGACAAGAGCATTTCCTGCAGAAGCACACTGCCCTTCATCAGCAAAGCAGGAGAAATGTGTAAAGAAAAGAACTTGGGATGTGGTGTAAAAAGACTATAGCTGAACTCTGGGACCACTCATTCATTCAACAAATATTTACTGGTCTCAGACTGCACGCCTGGCACCGTGCTAGGCTAAACATAAAAGTCCCCTCATGATGGAGCTTACAGTCTAGGGGGCAGACGGACAAGGAAACAGCCAGATGGAATATATAAAGTGTGCTAAGTGCAATGAAGGAAAAAGTGTGTGCTGTGAGATTGAACAGGGGTCAGCAGACTTTCTCTGTAAAGGGCCGGAGAGTAAATGTTACAGGCTCTGAGGGCCACATGGGGTCTCTGTTGCATATTCTTCTTTGATTTGTGTTTTGTTTTGTTTTTACAACACTTTAAAAGCATAAAAGTCATTTTTGCTTGAGGGTCACACAAAAATAGGCTTCCCTCTTCAGATGACACATCTCGCCCCCATTGGAATAGGGGCAGCGGTCAGCTCACAGATTTGGCCCTCGTGCCCTAGTTTTGGGTGATCCCTGAGCGGGAATATTGGATGGGGTCTACCTACAATTGGGAAGAAGCAGGGATCAGGAAGCTTCTCTGAGGAGGTAAGGTTTGAGCTGGGATGTGAAGTCACGAGAAGAAGCCAGCCAGACAGTCAGGTGACATGTGGGGGAGCAGGTGGGGATGGGAAAGGGAGGGGACCCAAGCTCACATCTGAGGACGCACCGCTGTTTAGTGCGCCTCATTCCTGGGCGGGTTCCTTTGCCTCTCTGAGCTTCCGTCAGCTTCCCTTCCTCCTTACAAGATTGTCATGAGCGTTACCTGAGAGACTGTCTGGAGTCTCTCAGAATCCGGGTGTGGTGGGCAGAGCGATGCTCCCGCCCTCTAAGATATTTGCCCCCATTACCAGGGACAGGGCCGTGCCACCCTGTGGAGTGCTGTAGCACTAGGCATTCCACCTTCACGCGGGCAGGCTGCCTCGCCTGCCTTGAGTCCCAGCATGCTCTGTAAATGGGGGTGGAAGCCCTGCCTTGCCTGCCCCGTGGGGCGCTTGTGAGAATTTGGATGTGAAAGTGATCCCTGGGGACCAGCCTAACAGTCGAGAGGGCAGGCTCTGGGGTGAGTGCCAGGCTCGGAGCCTGCCTGTTTCTAGTTGTGCGACTGGGTAAGTTTTTACAACCTCTCTGCTTCGGGTTCATCGTGTGTGCCATAGGGAGAGTAGCAATGCATTCCCTGCAGGGGTTCTGTCAGTGCTGTGGTGACTAAGGTGGCGCTCTGCCCAGATTCCCTCTTCAGCTGACGCACCCTCGACTCCGCTGGGAACAGGGGCGGCGGGCAGCTCACAGCCGTGCTTCCCATGGGGAATGGCCCTTGGCAGCAGGGAGCTGCCTTGCTCAAGGCTATGCTGCCTTCCAATGACCAGTTAATTCTTGCATATAAAGGCCAGGCCACTTGTCTCGATCTAGGACAACTTAAAAAGGCCATCTCAGTGAAAGAGCTCCTGGTAAAATGGGCTGAGGCCTCAAATGCAGCCACATAGGGGTCACCTGCCTGTCTCACTTCCTTACAGGGGTACCTCCCCAGAGCACTCCCCGAGAAACCGTCTGCACACAGGGCTTTACCTCGGGATCTGTTCCCAGGGAACCCAATCCCTACCAGCGGTGAATGTGAATATTTTAGGATAGTGGGTCTCAAACTTGAGTAGACATCCGAATCACCTAGAGGGCTTGTTAAAATAAAAGTTCCTGGGCCCTACCCTGAGAGTTTCTGATTCAAGTGGTCTGGGGTGGGCCAGAGAATTTGTATTTTTCACAAGCTCCCAGATGGAGTCCAGTTTCTTCAACAAATTGTAAAAAAAAAAAAAAATGCAGGGCAACTTATATATACAAGAGACTCAGGAGGCACCTCAGCTAAATGCAGTATGTGGACCTTGTTCTGATCCTGATTTAAACACACCAACTGTGAAAAGACATAAGGTCAGGGAAACTCGAACACCAACTAGATATTTGATGATACTAAGGAACGATGTCAATTCCTTTGGGTGTCATGATGATTCTGAAAGCCCAGGGGGGCAGGGCTTCCACCCCACGGCTTACCATGGGCCTGGCAGAGGGCAGCGCCCAGGGAGGGGCTGAGTGCATGAAGCCCAACTTATTCTCCAAAGGCATGGATAAAGCATGTCTCCTCCCTTGGAGAGGGTGTGCAAGGAATGGTGTATAATAGGAAAAAACAAACTAAATTTTTCCTTCTACTGTTCACATACTTCTGTGACCAAATGTGAGGGGTCTTCCCCCAACAGGCAATTCTCCGACACTCGCTGGGTGTCCTGCAATTCGGTTCAATTCTGACACTGCCTACCTGGAGTCAGAGGCAGATCCCACAGGTGAAGGGCTGAGTCCCTCAAGATCGCCCTCACTTCAGATGCCAAGTTCAAGTCCAGGCCCTGGTAATTCTGACCGACCAGCTATAAATTGGTGGTTCCCGTGACCCCCTCCTTGGGTTCGGTTATCTGCCAGAGAGGCTCACGGAACTCAGGAGAACACGTTTACCAGTTTATTATAAAGGATATTACAAAGGATACAAATGAACAGCCAGACGGAGGTGTATGGAGCTGTGTCATGTACGCATTCTCAGTTACCAGCTCATTCTCCCTTCCTGGAGGATGGGGTGTGGGGATGAAAGTTCCAAGCTTCTAATCATAGTCTTTCTGGTGACCAGCACCCCTCCTGGAGCCTACCAAGAGTCACCTCATTGGAATAAAAGATACCCCTATCACCTAGGAAATTCCAGGGCATTTAGGAGCTCTGCGTCAGGAACCGTGGCCAAAGACCAAATATTAGAACATAAGAGCCTCTTAGCACCCCTACTGCTCAAGCAATGCCAAGGGTTATGGAAGCTCTGTGCCAGGATCCAGGGACCAGGTCCAAATGATGTGTTTCTTATTATAAATCACAATATCATAGAGGTGGAGAGAGGCCAGAGTGTTCCTGAAGGGCTGTCCTCCACATGAAATTATGACTTTGTGCAAAGTCAGGGAGGTCTTTTAGCCATGTCCCTGTGTGCGGTGTGTGCAGGGATTGGAGGCGGGACTCCAGGATGCCAAGTGGAAGAAAGTTCCAAAGGGACTGAGGTCTCCCTGGCTTTCACTCGTTCCCTACAGGCTGGAGAGGAAGTGGGGTTTGCAGTTAGCCACAGCCCGGGCCTGAGTTCTCTTGGCAGGATGAGAGCTGATGCTGTCCTCTCCCTGTCCGTGTGTTTCCCTCTAGCTGCAACAGCAAACGCTACCTGGAGACGCTCCCCAACACAAGCATCATCATCCCCTTTCACAACGAGGGCTGGTCCTCCCTCCTGCGCACCGTCCACAGCGTGCTGAACCGCTCGCCCCCGGAGCTGGTCGCCGAGATCGTGCTGGTCGACGACTTCAGTGATCGAGGTAGGACCTGACCCACCCAGCTCCCTGCCTGCTGCGCTCTGTCCAGTGATCCGCCAAAGGGGTGGCGGGCTTTCCTTTCTTCAGCACGTCAACAGAGAGGCTGTCATTGACTGCATGCTCGCTGTGTGCCAGGCCACAGACCTCGCACTGCACACACGGTCTCCCATTTAATCCTCGCAACCCCTCGTGGAGTAGCTTCTATTTTTATCCCCTTTGTATCAGTTTAGAAATGCATGAAATTGCAAAGAACAGAAAACTTGATAAACACTAGCTCAAACAATGCAGGATTCTTTCACTTATCTCTCTCTCTCTGTTTATTACATAACAAGACATCCAGGGCTGGTACAACTGGCTGATCAGGGCTGTCACTGAAGAACCAGGCTTTTTCTTTCGTCCTGCTTCCTCATCCTCATGGTCACAAAATAGTACCTCTGGAAAGTCTGCCTTTCTGGCAGGAAAAGGGGGAAGGGCAAAGGGCACAAAGCCTCCGCCTGTCAAGGCTTTGCCTTGTTATTCAGGAAAGTCTCCTGGAGACTCAGCCAAAACTCTGACTCCTGTATCTGCAAGGGAGGCTGAGAATTTGAGCAGCTGGGTTTGTGGCCTCGTTAGTAGAGGTAGGAAAGGAAGAAGTGGATTAGATATGTCAAGTAAGCCCACCTGCAGTACCTGCTGCACCATTTTACAGATGAGAAAACTGAGACCCAGAGAGGTAAGTGACTTACCCCTGGTTACAAAGCTCTTACATACTAACGTGGTGACCAAACCATGTCTGCTGGCCCCAAGCATGAGATTTTAACTACACGCACAACCTCTTAGCTATGAGTCTCACCCTGTGGAATAACTCTCAGGCTTGGGTTTAAGAGACACAGAGATAGGGCCAAACACGAAATTCAAGAAGAAATTGCCCTCCAGCCAGTAGCCTCAAGCCGATTCTTTGCGTCAAAGCTTTCACCAGTTGCAGCAAAATCAAGAGAAGCCCTTTCCTCTGCTCACCTTCTTGCAGAGGCGCTAACAAGCAGTGAAGAGAGGGAGTGTGAGTACATTCCAGAATAATTGCAGCTGACAGTTGCAGAAGCAGCTCACCTGCTCGTTGCCCTGTTTTAATACCATACTCTTAATTACACGCCTTTAGTATAGCCGCCTGTGTGTGTGTGTGTGTCTGTGTGTGAACTGACATTTAACTCAGCCCCTGCCGCATCTGTAAAATCTTTCCTAACCCTTGACATGTACTCATCCTCATGGTACCCTTTATGTTTCCTTCCTACATTTTCTTATCACAGATAGAAATAAAATACTTATTTGTGTGAACACTGGTTTGTTGATGTCTCCCCTATTAGTCTGTACATTCTGAGTGCAGGGCCTTCCGCATGGGTCTTGCTCACCACTGATCCCCAGCTCCTTAAGCATATAGTAGGTGCTTAATACATGTTCGATGAATGATCAGAGCTCAGTTCCTCTGTTCAGTTAGCACTTCCATCCTGGTGACAATAGCCTCAAGCACAGTATGTGAGATTTGTGTCCTCGAAGTGAGATCTGAGCCCACAGGTGGCGGGGGTGTGACTTCCTTGTCCCGTTGTCCTGCTCTCTAGCAGACAGGCTGGCAGTGGTTATGTCTCTTATCCGGCCCTGGCACAACCTAGCTCTGTGACCTTGACCCAGTCACTTAACCTCTCTGTGCTTCAGTTCCCTCATCTGTAAAGTGGGATCGCAACAGGACTTACTATCTCTTCGATGGCTGTGACAGTCTAATGAGTTAATAGATGTAAAATTCTTAGGACAGTGCCTGGCACAGAGTGAACATTAAAAATAAACATTTCAGCTTGGTAGCGTGACTGTTATGGACATTGTGTATGGCTGGTTTGCAGGAGGGGGAGTCAGGGACGTATGTACAGTTGTGGAGGCACAGGTACCATTCCTCTTTCTGTGGATGACAAGGTTTCGCAGCTGTAAAACACGAAACAAACAGGCTGTGGTCTCACCCTCTACCTAAATTGTCTCCCCGCCCCTGTGCACTTCTCTTTTAATAATAGCAGCCCCCATCAGGGGACAATTTCAGTATGCCAGGCCCATGTGTTCTCTCATTTGTTCTTGACGACAGCCTGCGAGCGAAGCCTTGGGCCCCTGGGTCTCAGATGAGGAGCCTGGGCCCAGTAATCTGCCAGGAGCCACACGGCCCCCAAACGGCACCCCTAGGCCTGTGGACTCAACGCCCCGGCCCTGTGCTCCGCTGCTGCCTCCTGCTCCCTCTCGCCTGCTTTCCTTTCCCCAGTCTCCTGTCCCAGCCTCATCCTCCTCCCAGTTGGGGCCGCCACCCACAGGCCAAGGGCTCACAGCCGGGCAGTGGAAAGGGAAAAAAATGAGCAGATTGCTCAAGTGATGGATTGTTCTCCTGCGGCACAGAAGCCTCTGCAGCTCAGATGCAAACACCTGAGCCTTCCCTCGGGCAAGGGCTGCCTGCTCGGAGCAGCCTCCCTGATGGGCTCCTTCTCAGGGAGGGAGAGCCGGGACTTCGCTCACTCTGTCGCTCCCCCTCTTTGTGTCCCAGCCGCAGCAGGGCACAGTCCGACCCTGGGATCCTCCTCTGCCTGCACCCCCTCCTCCCGGCTCTTCCCGCTGCGTGTGGTTACACGGCTATTTGCTGAGCTATTTATTCATAGTCGTTCTTCTCCCACTAGAGCATTTGTGGTCTAGATAGCAGGTGATTTTTAAATGTCTGTGAATGGGTGAACGAAGGCATGAGGAGGGAAGGAGGAAACGTATGGCAGCTACCCCCACATACACAGAAAACTGTCACCAGCGACAGGGCCATCTCCAGCCAGCGAGACAGGTGTGGCTGTGGGAGACACAGCAGCTCCTGCAGTGACTGGTGCTGGCCCACATCAGGCTCAGGCCTCTGTAACCCGTTTTTCTGAAGCATCCACAGCCCTAGGGGTGACCCACGACACTCGGCAGGATCCCCCTCTGAGCATCACAGGGCATCCGTCCCCCAGGCATGGGATGAAACAAGTGCCAGGATGGATTAGAAATAAGCATCTCTCCTTGTTTGGTTAAAAAAGAATTTTGAGACCATTCTAGGCCAATGGCTTTGGCCCCCTGCTCCTCAGAGCAGTAGAGACCCCAGGGATGTCTCAGAAACGCTGTGAGGGGTATGGAGAACCTCGCAGGCACAGGTGGGGTTCAGGTGCCTCCCCGGCACGGTCTGTGTTTGCTTGCTGAAAAAGTATTCGCTAAGAGGAGCTCCACTGCTGAAAAAAAAATACAAAAACCACAGATGTAACTCAACCTGCTCATTTTACAGATGGAAAACCTGAGGCCGGGAGCAGTGGGCAGACTTAACTAAGCACTAACCACTAGCTGGTTGCAGAGGAGGGACAAGGACCCTGTCTCTCGGCTCCTGGGCAGCCTTGCACTTCCCCACCTTTATGCCTTTCTATTCGCAAGGGCACTTCTCAATAAATTATTTTCCCTTTTAGCAAGAGCAAACTTCTTGCTAAAAAGAATTCATTGTCAAACGCGGCCAGTCCTGAGCTATTATGGTCTGCAGCTCTATTATCCCAGTTTCCTCCATGTTATATTCAGCCATAAGGATAACAACATAACCCTCCCCCAAAAAGAGTGTAACAATCTTGGCAAAGAAAAGGTACATTTCCTAAGAATAACATTCTCCAAGTGCATCTGTTTCTCCAGAGACCAGTAATATTAATCTAATGTGGTGCCAACTTCAAATCTTAAAAAGATAGAACAAATGCTGTCCCATTTCACAGATGAGAATGACAACTGAGAACCCTGATTGCTGCCCGTTTTTCTCAATGAATCAGGCACTGAGCCTAGAGGAGAACTCTTACCTCATACCCCTCGGTCTTGCACCTTAGCTGTCGGGTTTTACAACCTGCATCTTTCAGAAAAGCAATCATTATTCTTGTTTCAAGAAGAAATTCTCAAAGCAGCTTTGGAAGAAAACTTTCTCAGCAGTGATTGTTTTAAAAATGGGTTTTGGGAGAAACAATTTCAGAATCATGGAGAGGCCTGTCTAAAGTTCCGCAAATATGGGCCATCCTAAAAGACAAATTTCTCTGGGCCACGTTAGCAGAGGCAGTTCTCAGAGTGGAAATTCATAGATGCTAACTATAAGCTAGATTGGCACTGCCTAGCAGAAAGCATTTTCCTCTGAAATGAGGCTCCTCCAGGATCCTCAGGGCAACTAATTGTAATTCAGCTACAGGTCGAGACCTTGGGTAGGAGACAAAATTGGAGCAGATGAATTCTTGAAATGAGATCCAGAGCTTTGCGCAAGCAGCATCAGGGACTAGAGCGGAGACAGACGCTGACACCGGAATAATCCTGGCTCTGCTGACAAGCAGAACACTGCAGAGTTTTCCAGGGGTCTCCAAAGCTCTTCAAATGTATGTGCTTTGCTCACGGATTAGGGGGACTTGGAGGTGTTTTTGCACTTGTGGGAGAGAGAGGTGGAGGTATCGGCTGCAAACTTACCTCCAGTTTGCACTGCCTGGATGTCATGTTTTATTAGGAAAAACAAGAGAGGTCTTTGTTCATTTATTTGTTTCTATTCCTCGTCTTCTTCTTCCTTTCTGCACTTTCAAATAGTGTTGTTTTAACAGAAAAAAAAAAATGGGATATGTTGTCCTGGAAAGGTTATTGTCTTTGGGTGAAGTACGAGCTGCCTAGAATGGTTAGATACGGAAGTGAAAGGCTGTGGTACGATCTCATTGACAGCCTTTGTGCCAACTCAACTCCGAGTAAGCAAACAAAAATGTTCACAGGGAACGTTCCCAATGGCAAGTTCTTAAGCAGGTGTCTGCAGAGCTATTGATAGGTGGTGGGCAGTGATTGGTGCTTGAAGGAGTATGGATGTTGCTCACATGGCCCATTAGTTCACATGGTAGAGGCCCTCACCAATGAGGCCAGGGTCACAAGTCCTCTTCCCGTGATGGGTTTCTTAACACTAACCTGCACTCTCACACCTTGCCGGTCATGGGAAC